TCCCTTTGTCATTATATACTGACCTTCTTTGTCTTGTTTTACATTTTTGGATATCATGTCTATTTTATCTGATATAAGTAGAGCTGTCCCCGCTTTCCTTTGGTTTCCATTTGTATGGAATATTTTTTCTGTCCTTTCAACTGATGTATGTCCTTAAAGGTAAAGTAAGTGTCCTGTTTTATTATCCATTCAGCTATTCTATGTGTTTTGATTGGAAACTCCACTCAAGGTAATTCTGGGTAAGTAAAGATTGTTGCCATTTTGTTAACTGTTCTCTGACTGTTTTGTACTTTCTTCCTCCTTTGCTGTCACATTTGAACAAGTGTGGACTTAATCACTTCTTTTGTGATTAGATGATTGTAGTGTTATGCCTTGATTCATTAGTTTTTATCTTTCATGTATTTACCACAGTATTTCTTTCATGGGTACCATGAGTCTTACCTAAAACAACTTCTAGCTGGGCACCCATAACTCAGTGAGTAGGGCACAGGCCACAAGCACTAGGGGGCTGGTGGGTTTGAATCCAGCCTGGGGCCTGCCAAACAACAAACAAAAAAATAGCTGGGCGTTGTGGCGGGCACCTGTAGTCCCAGCTACTTGGGAGGCTGAGGCAAAAGAATTGCTTAAGCCCAAGAGTTTGAGATTGCTATGAGCTGTGATGTCACTGCACTCTACCAAGGGTGTCAAAAATGAAACTTTCTCAAAAAAAAAAAAAAAACTAGTTATAACAGGCTATTTTAACCTGATAACAATCTAAGTGTGATTGCATTAAAATGTAAACAGTTTTCCTCTCCCCCACCACATATTTTACATTTTTGATGTAACAATATATATCATCTTAGAATGTATCTTTTAAAAATTATTATAATTATTAACGTTTTGTAGAGCTGTATCTTTTAATCTTGATACTGAAGACACCTGTGATTTATACATCACCATTATAGTACTAAAGTACTTTGAATCTATGTACCTTACCAGTGAATTTTATATTTTATGTTTCCATGTCACTAATTCATTTCCTTGTCCTTCAGATTGAAGAATTCCCTTTATTATTTCTTATAAGAGAGGTCTGGTGGTGATTTTATTTTTCTGGGAAAGCCTTTATTTATCCCTCAGTTCTGAAGGACAGCTTTGCCAGGCAAAGTATTCTTGGTTGACAAGACTTTATTCCCCCTGCTGCTGTAAAGTTTCTGCTGAGTAGTCCATTATTACCGACCTTACTGAAACTCCCTCAGATATGTTACATGTATGCTTCTTTTCTTATACTACTTTCACCCTTATCTGTCTTTGGTTTTTGACAGTTTATGTCTTATTTAGATTCAATCTGATTAGAGACCTTTGACCTTCCTATACCCAGATATGTTTCCCCACTGTTCTTCCTTTAAATAGGCTTTCTGTTTCTTCATCTCTTTCTTTTCCTTCTTAAATTCTTCTAATTCAGTATTTATTCATTTGTTGCTGTGCCCTAAGTCCTATGTAAGCTTTCTTCATTTCTCTTCATTTTCTTTTACATTCGCTAAGCTGCCTTTGGGTTTGGATTCATTCTTCTGCTTGATCAATTCTGCTATTCATGCTCTTTTGCATTTTTCAGTTCACTCATTGTATTTTTCATCTCCATAATTTCTATTTGATTTTTTAAAAAATAATTTCAACCTCTCTGTTAAATCTGTTTTGGTCATTTATTGTCTTCTTGACTTCACTGAACCCATTACTCTGTATTTCTTGAAATTCACTGAGCTTCCTTTAAAAAATTACTTTTAATTATTTGTCAGGCATCTCGCACATCTGTTTCTTTAGGATTGGTTACTGGTGCTTTATTCTGTTCCTTTGATGGTATCACATTCCCTGATTGCTCTTGATCCTCGCAGTCATGTGTTGGTGCCTGCATATATGAACAAGTGGGAACTTATTCTAATCTTTATAGACTGGCTTTGTCTAAGAAAGTCCTTCACTTGTCAGCCTGTCCAGAGACTCTAAATCAGGAGTCAGGACCCTGGCACTAGGAAAGTTGAGAATCACTGCTCTAGATCCTGAGCCCACAGGGGCTGGCTTGGAATCTGGGTCAACAAGGGAAATCCTGGAGCCTCAGTGCATGTAGGGTAGCCTGGCACTGGGGTCTATAACCTCAAGGCCAGGACTGTGGATGAGCCTGGAACCTGGGTCAAAGGGATCTGGCCAAGTGTTGAGATCAACTAGGTCTATCTAGCCTTGACCCTAGCTCTACTAGAACATGGGGCCGCAGTAGCCAACCTGTAGGGAACGGCTGTGGGGATGAGTCTGGCACTGAGCAGGGCTGAATCCTGGGGCTATGGAACCCAGCTTGACACTGGGGTTTACAGGCCTAGATTCTGGAGCTGTGAAGGAATGCCTGACACTAGGCTTTACTGGGATAGGCTCAGCATTAAGAGGCAAAGTCTGGTATTCATTCTCTTTCCCCCAAGAGGAAAATATCTCTCTCCAAGCTATGCTGTCTGGGATTGAGGAAGGCATTAATGTAAAATAATGTAATAACATAAACTTCCTACCCTCTTCAATACATCTTTTCTTATTTCTATGCTACACCCAGGTTTTGTAATCTCTCTTGTAAGGTGTTTTTGTCAGTGGATAGTGTAAAAATTGGTATTTCTTCTGTGAAAAGAGTGCTGCAAAATCCTATTCTGCCAAAACAATTCAACAGCTTTGATCTGACAACATAACCTTTCCAACCACAGCCACCGTCAACGCCATACATGTATAAATTCAAGGACTCCAATGCTAACATCCTATGCCCATGCCACTAAAGGTTCTGTTCCAATAGCTCTGCTAATACCCAATCCTAAGATACCACACATAATCTTCTGGTTATGAGTAAAAAGTCTTTAAATAACAAGTGTGACTAAATTTCTAATCCCTAATTTTGAGTTTTGTAAGGTTTCTAACTTCAGCTAGCCATTCAGATCTTTACAGTTTTGAACTACTTATCCACTCATTCCCCTCAGTAACTTCCCAGGTGTTCAGTCTTTTCAAATCCTCTAACCAAACGCTGTGTTCCACTAAACGTTATTAGAAAATTTCTCATAAAAAGTTACGTGTCACTAAAATACAATGACATACCACCTCACAGCCATTATGATATGCTACTATACAAAAAAATCCCCCAATAAACCCAGAAATTAAGTGTTTGCGAGGACATGAAGAAATTGGAACCCTTGTACACTACTGGTGGAAGTGTTAAATGATGCAGGCAGTCTCTCAAAATGTAAAAATAGAATTGCTATGCAATCCAGCAATTCCACTAGGTATGTACCCAAAGGAACTAAAAGCAGGGTTTCAAAAAAAATTTGTATACACATATTCACTGCAATATCATTCATAACAGCTAAAATATGGAAGCAACCCAAGAATCCATCAATAGATGAATAGATAAGCAAAATGTGATAGATAAGGGAACTGTGAAATAAGCCAATTACAAAAAGACAAAAACTGTATGACTGCACTAACAAGACATAATTAAAGTAATTAAAATCACAGACAGAAAATATAATAGTGGTTTCCAGGGGCTATGGAGATGGGGAATTGGGGAGTTATTCTTTAATAAGTAAAGAGTTCCAGTTTTGCAAAACAAAGAATTCTGGAGATGATTACAAACAATACTGACATACTTAATACCTCAAAAATGTACATTTAAATATGGTAAAGATGGTAAATTTTATGCTATGTATGTTTTATCACAATTTTTTAAAAAGTTAAAAGAAAAGCTACATGGTCACATAAATTTTAGAATTACATTTTATATTCCTTTCTTGGAGATTAACAATGTACACCAACATTTAAATGAACTTTTACTATCTTCAACTAGAAAACCTTGACTTCTAACCTGCAAATACATTTAATATCACATGTACATCTTTATCTCCTTGCTACAATTTTAGGAGGTCTTTCCTCTTACTCAAGGCCAACCACTACATCAGAATTTTTCATTCCAATTCTTACTACTTCAAAAAACCTTGGTTTCATAATTACTACCTCTATTATCTTAAATCTTCTTTGGTCTTTACAATAAATTACTGAAGTCTTATTTAACTTCATGTTCTTAATATCTGTCTTAAATCCACAAAACTTTATCTTAGATTTTTATAATACCTCTCCCCTTGTGAAGCTGTTGTCAACTCTTCCACCACGTTTCTCTTCAATCCTATTCCTCTGTTGCAACGTTATTAAAAACGTACATTTGAAAGTGTTGCTACCTACCTATTGAGCAAATTCTTTACTGACTCCCAAATACCTATAAAACACAAGCCAAGACCCTTCACACAGCATGCAAGGCCCCAATCCTGACTATCAAGCCTATCTCCTTCATGTTCCTGCTCCTAAGCTCATTTATGACCTAAAAGTCCTCAAAACTGCCTGTTGTTCCCTAAATTCATTATGCTAATTCATAACTTTGCTCCCGTTTCTGGCTGCCTGACTCTCAGCCACATTTCAAGATTTAACTTATCTTTCCCTGGTCACTTCTGTTTCTCTGCCATCTAGACTAAGTCCCACTGCATGCCTGTGTCCTCTGGTACTCCTTCATGTTTCTACTGCATCCTGAGCAACATTCTACCTCAATGACTGAAATGATTTGCTTTTGCATATTTCAGTTTGAAGATACAATAAATTTCTGCAGGGTAGAAAGTTATTCTTTAGTATCTTTGTATCCATAACATAGTATCTGATGTCTTCCCTACAGTGGACATTCAAAGTGTCAACTCAACTCAGATCAATTTCTCCACAACTGCTAAAGAAATGAAAAGACATAAAAATTCAGAAGCATGCAATATCTATGTACAATAGGAATCTAGTGAATTGTACCAAGGTTTAGAGGTATTTGGAGGGGGAAGAAGTAAGTCCCTATCTTCCAATTTACTTCTAAATCATTCCTTACTTTTAACTAGTAATTATTTTTGAATAATCTGACACCATTTAAGGTGGCCTACATCAACTTAAAAGACATCAAGGCTCAATCAAGTTATACTTACATTCGGCTAGCTTCAATGTCGTCAGACTGAGGTTCTCCTGGTGATCTGTAAAATACAATTGAGAAGAGGTTAGCAAAATATTCCGAATCTCCCCCCCCCCCAAAAAAGGTAGATGTGTTACTTGAGAAGACATATTTGTAAACGAGATTTAGATTTCACCATGAAAAAAGTGATCAGACCAGGTTGCCATACAACACGTTTATTTTAAGGGTTGGACTAATAAAAAAACTCAATGTATTTTCTTAAGAAAAGAACACTATAAATACTCAGATACCAAAAGACAAACCAGTATCAAGTAAAAATTACTCACAAAGTCAAATATTTGTAACAAAAAACATACAACTATAAAACTTCTGACAGCCAAGCATTTGTTACCCACAGTAACAAAGGTACTCATTGGTATTCATAGTCTGAAACTTTAAATCAGAGAGTTATCAAACTAATCCCTGAGCAGACAAACTAAAGGCTGGGCCAGCCCCTTGGTCTTATAAATGAAGTTTTATTGGAACACAGTCATACTCATTTGTCTGTGGTTGCTTTTATACCAAAAGAGCAGAGGTGAATACCTGTAGCAGAGACCGTATGGCTCCACAAAGCGTAAAACATCTATCATTGGAATTTTAATAACAAGTTACCTGCCTCTGCTCTAGATTCAAACTAAAACGTCATAGTCTTGGCAAATTTTGAGACATTTAATTCAAATGTACACTCAAATGATGATTATTTTGTTCAACAATAAAATTAACTTTCCCTAAAATCACTGGCAGTACATCCTACCTGACAAACATGCAGCATCTGGTATGTTAAAGATTTGCTCTGGAAAAGTGTAAATTAACTGCAGTTTTAAATAGTTGCCTGTTATCTTTTTATTTCTAAACATACTGCTGCTACTTTATACAGAAATATTTAAAATTCTAAGACACTAAGAAGTTTTGCACTTTCATTTTAGGAGACATAAACCAATTTTTCCTATCATATTGTTAAAAATAAATTCTTGATAAATTCTTAATTCTGTGATGTCACTCAACGTATGCAGCAAATATTACATACAAGGTTAATCAATATAATACTGATTTTTAACACTTTCAAAGTCCCCAAATAGAAAAAACTTTTTGAGTGTCAAAAACTACATTTTCAAACTGGTATCGTAAGGATTTACTTTGTGAATTTAAAACAGTCTTTAGACTTCCAACATTAAATAACTTTAATGAAAAAATCTTAAAGGCTCCTGAAGCACAGTGGTTACAGTGCCAGCCACATACACAGAGGGTGGAGGGTTCGAACCCAGCCTGGGCTAAACAACAATGACAACTTCAACAAAAAATAGCTGGGCACTGTGGTGGGCACCTACTGTAGTTCCAGCTATTTGGGAGGCTGAGACAAGAGAATTGCTTAAGCCCAAGGGTTTGAGGTTGCTGTAAGTGATGACACCACTGCACTCTACAGAGGGAAACATCGTAAGACTCTGTCTCAAAAAAAGAATCTTAAAATCAGAGCCACCAAGGGGGGAAAAAAATCTTAAAAAGAGATTCAAAAAAAGAATCTTAAAATCAGAGCCACCAAGGGGGGAGGGATCTCATACTAAATTTCTGAGATTAAAAAAAAAATCATTTCTTAAAAAATCTTAGAAAGAGATTCAAAAAAAGAATCTTAAAATCAGAGCCACCAAGGGGGGGGGACCTTAAAATCAGAGCCACCAAGGGGGGAAAAAAATCTCATACTAAATTTCTGAGATTCAAAAAAAAAAAAATCATTTCTTCATCAGATTTTCAAAATTACCCTCACTGTAGTTCATTCAGATTCCAAGGACAAGAATTGTGGGGAGGACAGAAGGACTCTAGCAGTTCAAATATTTATTTTAGATCTTCTTTCCAATATATTTAAATGATTTAAATGTTCAATTTTGCACTAACTTATATAAGAACTAAAAATTGGGGCATGCTGGAGGTGGCAGTGGCTTGGCAATGACACAAATGCAAGAATTTCACTCCACCCTCTCTCCCAGGGAGCAAGTAAATCGCCTCAGTGACACACCTGGTCTCCACCAGCCTGTGGGTAAGTACCCCAAGATTGCTTCCAAACTTGTATCTCCCAGAGAGAAGAGCTAAAAATTGATGATAACCCCATGTACCAGCTGACTCATTTTTGAAAGTGCGACCCTCCAGCAAGCATCAGATGTCATACTGTAAGGAGGCAGAGCTGGCTTGCAAAACAAAAAATAAACCTGCTGGCACTGAGGGAAGAAAGGCAGATTAGAAATTTTCAAACATGCTGGTAGCACAACCTTCAAAATTAATAGGTAAACAGAAAGAGAGAAAGAGGGGGAAATGAGGACACGATAAGGACAAAAATATTAATGCAAAAAGGTAAAACACAAAAGGAAGGAAAACAAATCCAAGTCTCAGAAGTACAACACGTAACTGCTACAAAGTTTTGAGATACTGAAATAAGATACAAATTAAATATATCATTGAATAGTAACTACACCTATTTCCCCAATTTCTGTGCCCTAAACAAAAGTATATGTGAACATTACTATCAAAATGGCAACAAACTGCTGTAAATATAGATTACTAAGTAATTACATATGTGTGTTAAAGTGAGATATTAAAAGTCATTTATAAGTCAAACCAAATAATTGAAACCAATTCAGTCTAGAAGAAAAAGAAAAGAATAAGGACTGAAAGATCATACTCTAAAATAAATTTGTCTTGGGTTTCCTAAACTTTACATAGGTTGTTTTTTATTCAAATTGGAAATTGTTTTTGAAAGTGAACATATACAGAACTAGCAGAAACATTTTTCTTGAAGCATTAATAGTGCATGTCAATAAATTTTTAGTCATTCTGCTTATAGTATATTTCTATAATATTAGAAATAAGTTACCAAAAAACATCCTGGAGTTAATTCAAACTCTCAAAACTATAAAATACATACCATTTAAGCAAGAGTTCCTAAGCTTTATTTTGGCTCCTAAAGAGCCTGTTTATTCTTTATTACCAAGCTATTGGAAATAAGAACCCAGTACATGCTCATAAATTCAGAACATACAACCAAAGGGAAAATAAATTTTTATTAACTATTAACTTAGGTTATCCTAAACTTTGGCAGAAAGGAAAATTTAAAACTAAAACAGTAACCATTGGAAAATAAATTAATCTTAGAAGAATCTTAATTTTAGGTCTTGATTTGGATCGTAGAAAATATGATCACAAAACACCCACTAATCTGAATACTGCAGCATGAGCTAGCAAATTCAAATGGTGGCTCACTTCCAATAATACTTGGTGCAGCTTCTCCATCCTGCAAGCCACTCCTTTTACCTCCACTGTAACTCTCTAGGAGAGAAAAGTATACTAGTTTTATTAAAGTTGTAGAAATTCTAGAGAAATGTTTACTTAAAACTTTTACTATATAAAAGGTACACTTTAAAATGCATATTAAGAAAATTTTCATATCTTTTTACTAATATTTATCATAAAATATTTATGTAAAAATTTGATTTTTTGAGAAATACTTTCCTGTTTAGCTAGACAGATAATTCTTTAGTGGTAGCTACTGATATTTTTAATGGAGGGGCACTGAAATATTTTAGGAGACTACACAGAGAAGTCAGTCAACTCTTAGGCCCACTATTCTTAGCAATATTCCTGCCAACTACACATTTTCTTCATTTGTACCGCATGTATTTCACTTTACAATGACAGCCTTTTAAAGGCTGTAAAATAATTCAAAATTACCTTTTACAAGCTGTGGCCATTCGGTGACATCAGGGTGATCACAGCTTTGAGTCACTGATTAAAAACAGGTTGTCACACCAGTCTAGCTGCTAACTTGATCTGAGCGTAGGCTTAATAACTCTAATAAATTAAACAAACCTTTAGTTAGAATACTTTAATATATAAACAAAATTCATTGTTCAAAAAATAACCCTCAAAGCTTCAAGTTAGATGTCAATGCAAACTTCATTAGAATTATTATAGAAAAGACTTTTAGGACGAATTTCCAGCATATGTTTTTCTTATATGAACTCCCTGTTTGAGGAACTATGTTAATAATCCCTTGGACTTTCATGTAGTGTTACAGCTCATACAACACTTTGGTCAGCAGCACCTGGAATCACACAACTTTGGCTCTATCTAATCAAAGCAAATACTATAGTAAGAATTTTAAAAACAAAAAAACTTAAGCGGCCTCAGAGGGGTTAATTGACTTGCCCAAGATTTTAGAATTAGTGTTGAAGCTAGGACTAAAACCCAGATCTACTGACTTTCTATTGAGCACTGGATTTTTTGTTTTAGTTTATTTTTGTTATAGAGTAAGTTTCATGATTTAAATATATGTAAATGAGTAAAGATTTAGAACATGGATTGAGATCTCACAATTATAATAACAGTTAAATGGTACTAATTTAGCCAAAGTTTTCTTAAACTGATGGAGAAATCAGTCACCAGGTAGGCAAATTATTACTGAAATAGTGATATACATACACATAAACACACACACTCATGTACACAGCAAAAGTCTGGTCCTACTAGTTCTGTATTTAAATACAGTCATCTAACATTAACTAAAGCTCTCTGGGTACAGCATGAAAATGTGTTGTATTCCTTCTCAGCCATAAAGCCAAGACTCGATGTCATGAAAGAATACAGCAAGATATGAAAGGATTGCCTTCTCCCTCAACCAAGTATCTTTTTATCCTCTTACTTGGCCTTAGCCAAACTTTCCTGATTGTCATGGTTCAAATTTAGCAGCCTTCTTTTATCACACTGTAGTTTTGGCAGAAATATCATACATCAGAAATATCCAGTATGAAGAGCTCATTTCATGCAACTAGTTCCTCCTCTCATGATTCTCCTACCAAACATATACCCAGACCAATTCTGAGGAGTGAACTAAGGAAAGATAAGAAAATTAGAAGACAGACAGACTTCAAGTTAACATCTTCAAACTGAGAATAAAAAAGAATAGAAAATGGATTCAAAATCTGATATAAAATACCAAGTTATCTTAGAACCACAAGAGAAGAGTTAAAACATCAATGCATCAATGCTTGAGCCTATACTTTTCTCCACAGCTTTGAACATATGGTTTCAAATGCAGATGAGAGTAAAGGCTGGCCTAAGTACATACAAGTAACTTTGGAGGATTCCAATAAGTGGGACATAAAATTTCCCATATCTTCCTATCACAACTATATGTGTTTTTAATAAGAACCTACATGCTTCTGAGGTCATCTCGGAAAGAAGCGATGATGCCCTTGAGATGAACGATGTGGTTATGATACAGTCCCTACCCAGTTTCACAGGAGACTAACAGTTTATGTGGATTTTGAAAATCCTAATTCCCAATGTGTAAACACGAAAATGATAAAAGTTAAAATTATCTATTAATTGACTAATTAATTAAAGAGCTGCATGTGTTTTGAAAACTACCAAGTCCTCTCTTCCAATACCACTTTTATGAAGTCCAATGCTCAACAGAGCATGAAAAGACTCTAAAGCCACTCTGAATCCATGACCCTGATTTGTTCACTTACTAGCTGGGAAATCTTGGGCAAGTTACTTAACCTCTCTCTGAGCCTCAGGTAGAACTAAGATAACAGCAGTTATCTTTCAGAGAGCTTTCATGAGGATGAACAAGTTAACATCTAAATAGCTGAAAACAGTGCCTGGCAGGCAATGTGTTCTCAAAGGGAAGCTACTGTTAATAATATTCATAGCCTAACAGCCAAACCTGCCCCCTCAATCTTCTGATGCCTATTATTTTACTTCTCAAAGTACACTAATCTCTCATAAACTGTTCCAGCACCCTACTTGGATTTCTCATACAGTCTACCTGGAAGCACAGTTAGCACCTAGCACAATGCTTTAAAAACGGTAGGTGCCGAAAACTGCTGAACCCATTTGTCATTATCTAACCATGACTTTAAGATATACATGCAATATGAATTCCGAAAAATAAAACAAAACATACCATATTTCGCCAAACTTCTGAGGAGCTGGTGAATTGTAAAATCAGGCTCTTACAGATTTTTAACCTAAAATATAAAACACCTCACTCAATTCTTTTTACATAAAACAACTGGATGAACTTTTAAAAAATTTACTGAAACTCATTATAAAATAAAGGCAAATTTATTTTCTATAATATTCATGAAGATCCAAAAATATATGAAAAGGCAAATTACCCTACTGTTGCCAGAATGAGTGGCAAGTGGTTAGGCAGACCTGTGGCCTGAGTACTATCATCAGGCAAAGTCATGTCTCCCATGTTCATCCACAAAGCATAGAGCTTTCCATTTCCTTATACTTTATCCTTCCTCCAAAGGGTGAAAACTATTTAACTACATGCCTCTAATCCCTCTACATACCTACAGCAATTTTGCTTTTAATTAAATTCTATATGCTGGGGATCTGTTATGTTAGGTACAAATATGGGTATTTATCCACTACTTTCCAGAGTAGCAGCCTTGGGCAGATCCTTCAATCAAAAATTTGTCAGGCTGGGCGGCGCTGTGGCTCAAAGGAGTAGGGTGCCAGCCTCATATGCCAGAGGTGGCAGGTTCAAACCCAACCCCGGCCAAAAACTGCAAAAAAAAAAACAAAAAAAAAAACTGTCAGGTTGTTGTATTTAAAAAAGGTATTTAAAGAATGTAGGATAATGCTTGCCTGGCACATAACAGGGCCTCAAAACACCATGACCATTATAATACCTTCAATCAACCATTTAACATATCTTATCAAAACTTAACTCTTATAGAAAAATTCTAAAGCTTAAAAGCAATGTCCTTGAAATATCCCAGTATGAAGAGTTCATTTCATGTAATGAGTTCTTCCCTTCATGATTTCCCTACCAAACATATATCCAGGCCAATTCTGAAGAGTAAACTAAGGAAAGATGAGAAAATGATTAAATAAGAAAGGGATTATTTAATCACTGTAAGTTTTTAACTGATTTGTAAATATACAATGGGAACATTCTCAGTAGAACAGGAATTGAAGTCTTTTAATCTATTCCACCTTATTATATATGAAAAAATCAAATACCAAAAATTAAGAAATCCACCCAGTGTCCTACAGGCTAATGGTAGGAAATGAATATATGGCACACAAATATTTTATAATAAAATTAACCAACTTTAAGGCTTTTGAGGACAAAGTCTCAAATAATCTACAATAGTCAATTAGAGTATCTAAAAATTCAACTATCTGGGCTCTACCTCCATAAAGTATGAATTAGTACATGAGATAGGGGTTCATGAATTTATATTTTTAACATACAAGTGAAAAACAGGCCCCAATTTGAGAAGCCAAGCCTTCCTAATCATGGATTAGGAGGAAATATATCAAAAGTAAGGATATAAGATACAGAAACTATAAGCACCAAAAATGTAAGGCACACTTACTTTGCAAATTTAGCCATCAGAACTCTAATATCAGACATAGTACCCTTATTTAAATTGTGTTTTTCACCAACAGAAGGGGGGTCTCTCTTTAGTTACCTAATAAGAAACACCTACATCAATCTATCCACTTAAAATTTTCATGTTTCGTGTTTCGATAGTCTCTGCCAACAACCAATCACTCTTCCCTCACAAACATGTCACAATAACATCAATGCAGAAGATGTCCATCTCCTCTTTACCAGCCTATTCCCTTCACCAACTTCTGAATCTACATCAAACAATTTCACAGATGGCTTTTTCTTTTTTTTAGAGACAGAGTCTCACTTTGTCACCCTTGGTAGAGTGCTATGACATCATAGCTCACAGCAACCTCCAACTCCTGGGCTTAGGCAATTTTCTTGTCTCAGCCTCCCGAGTAGCTGGGACTGCAGGCACCGCCACGAGGACCGGCTATTTTTTGTTTGCAATCTGGCCAGGGCAGGGTTTGAACCCGCCACCCTCGGTATATGGGGCCGGGGCCCTGCCCACTGAGCCCGAGGTACTGCCCACAGATGGCTTTTTCTAATCCTTTTTTATTATAACACCCAGAACTTCTGTTCTCCTTTGCATCAAGTTTATAGGATTTTATATTTATGCTACTTGAAAGTTTCACATCTGAGCATGGACTATTCTAACAACTCTCATGGAGTCTTCTAGTCTAGGCTAAAGTTAAGACTAAAAAGTTTTGAACATATTTAAACACACACACACAAAGTTTTAAACAGTGCTCTGAAATAGTGATTGCAACATAATTCCCTCAACTCCATTAATTCCATAGAGTACCATTTCTTTATTCTTTCCTTTAACTACCAAAAGGACCACAAAACCATTAGCTCAGTTTCTGATATACAAAATCTTCCACTTATTGATATTTTTCTTATAAAATTTACCCTCATTCCTGTACATTCACAATACTGTGGACCTTTAATCTAACTTAATTTTTATAGTATTTCATACTGCTAACTCTAACCTCCTCTAATTTCCCTAATACTGTACCCACCTGTTTTCTCTCATATACCAGCTACAAGGTCTTCTAACTAGTTCATATTCCTACCTCTCATACATGGCCTCTCATGGTTTCTGTCAGTAGCCACTTTTCTTAATTATCTGGGTAACGTCATCCATTCCCATAGCAAGACCCCATAACTATACATCTTTAAGTCTTTATCTCTGGAAAAATATGCCTGCAACTACTAATTATCAAGGGTACATATCCACTTGCATACCTACATCCAATGTCTCTCAAATCAAACTCAATTATTTCCCCCAAATCTCACTTTCTCCTGCATATGTCTAATCTTGCTATCCTCCTAGCTACACACTGAAAAATTCTGCAGTATTCTTTACTTTCTACCCCTCACTTTTACTTAGCCTTACCACAGTGTAGGTTGATACTCATTAGCCTTCTCATTCACTTAAAAACTGTCTACTAGATTTTGGGTGCTTAGTAGATGGGTGAAGACACAGCGGTAAAGAGACTAGATATAATCTCTTGTTCTCATCTGGTGAGAGAAACAGGTATCAATAATAAAAACCACAATAAATTATGTAGTTACAATGCACAATAAAGCACAGGAAAGGAAAAACACAGGGGGTGGTGAATAGGTATTAATTTTGAGTCATATCTTAAGGAGTATCTCTTTCCCAATAGATAAAATTGTTTACCAAGTGCTACCAACTCTACCTCAGAAGTTCCGACTACCCACTATTCTTTTGATGGTTTTGGAAGCTTCTAAAATGAAACCAAATTTCTTATCACATAAACTGAGACTACACACAATTTGACCAAAACTTGCCAGCCCAGTATTTTCTTCCAGACTAGACCAAATTTCAAAAGAACATGTATATCATTCACTTTTATGCTTCCTGTACTTGAAAATGTTTACAGAGGCTCAGGCCTGTAGGTCAGCGGCTAAGGCACCAGCCACATACACCAGGGCTGATGGGTTTGAACCTGGCCTGGAGCCAGCCAAACGAAGACTACAACAACAAAAAAAAAATGTAGCCGGGCATTGTGGCAGGCGCCTATAGTCCCAGGTAGTTGAGAGGCCAAGGCAAGAGAATCGCTTAAGCCCAAGAGTTTGAGGTTGCTGTGAGCTGTGACACCATGGCACTCTACCATGGGTGACACAGTGAGACTGTCGCGAAAGAGAAGAGAAGAGGAAGAGAAGAGGAAGAGAAGAGAAAGGAAAGGAATATATTTACAGAATAAGCATCTTACACTAGAGCAGACGTCCTCAAACTACGGCCCGCAGGCCACAGGCAGCGCACCTAGGACATTTATCTGGCCCACCGGGTGTTTTTGCTGCCGCTGCCTGTCCTGCTTAGCCACTGACTTATCCCGGGGCCCGCAGTCCAGCCCTCCAATGGTCTGAGGGACACTCAACTGGCCCTTTTTAAAAAATTTGAGGACCCCTTTACTAGAGGAACTTTTCTCCTAGGTGATTTGCTTTGGGTCCTTTAAGTAGTCAATGTAAGGTCAAGATTCAAACCCATATTTGCCTGATTCTAAAAGTCTTGCATCCTCCCTGAATTTATACTCAAACCCTCTAAATTTTACCTTGAAGTATCTCCCTCTCCCCTACCATTTATCAACACTATACTACTACAAAACACACCATATCATCTGGTTTTCCTTATGCTTTTTTAGTCGGCCCGGGCCAGGTTCAAAACCCCCCACCCTCAGTGTATGTGGCTGGTGCTATAACCACTGTGCTCCAGGAGCCGAGCTCTATCTCTAACTCTGCTGCTAAACTATCTTCCTAAAAACTCAAATCTGGCCACACTGCTTCCATATTCAAAGCTTCTATGTCTTCTCAATGCCAAAAGGATAAACTTCAAAATCCTTCACACATTCTTTGAGCCCCTTGCCACATGCCCCTACTCAGTCATCCAAGCATTACTACCCACTATAGAACATCATCATCATCAGGTACCAGATCCAGCCCATAACCAGATTACTGGCTATTACAAACTGGCCATCTGTATTTCCTCTTCCTTTCTTTTAGATACAAGATTTCACTCTGTTGCTGGTCTACAGTACAGTGGCATGATCGTAACTCAGTGCAACCTCAAACTCCTAGGCTCAAGCAATCCTCCCACTTCAGCCTTCCAAACAGCTGAAAGTACAAGTGTACCACCATGCCCAGCTCAATTTTATTTTTTTGTTGAGAAGAGATCTATCTCAATAGCCCAGACTGGTCTCCCCTACCTTTATCTCCCAAGTGCTGGGATACAGGAATGAACCACTGTGCCTAGTTAGCCATCTGTGTTTCTAACTTCAATGCTTTTGCTTCTGAGGACACTTTCTGCCCTGCCCTTTGTTAACCTCTACCCCTCACTCATCTACCACGCTGTACTGAAAACCCTACTTATTCTAAAGGCTGTATTTCACAGGCTCCTTTAAACTATTCTGCTATCCATAACCACTATCTTTCATCTTACTATATACTCCTAAAACCATAAAATAATTCATTAATTTCTTCCTTATACTTATTTTATACCTTACATTATAGCTATCTGTTTACATTTGTCAATGCCTCAAGTTGTAAGCTGGTGATGGTAGGGATCATCTCTTCCATATTTTTGTTTTC